ATTAAGGGGTGGGCTCAGGCTACTTTCACTGTTCCTTGCTCTGCCACCTCCTAAGCAGTAGTCTTAAGCAAGTTACCAAACGTTTCAGAAGCCTCCATTTTTTCATCTTTAATGGAGGATAATAACACCACTTATCACATGGGGGTTTTGTGAGAATTAAGTAAAATAATGTGCTAAGTACTTAGAACTCTTTTGGTACACAGTAAGTGCTCAACAAATGGTAGTTATTGCTACTACTATTACTGTTATTAGTACCATTATGCCATGGTTACTTGTCAGGTTTGGTGTTCATTCCATCAATAAGCTATGGCTCCTCTAGGGTAGACACAATTTCTTATTAATTTATGGTAGTGCTCCAGGACTGGTATATGATGGTACCCAAAACATCTTTATTGAACTCTACCTTATTATATTTTTGCCAACTGTTTCTTATGAGTAGATGATAAAAATTAGTGGTATTGTGCACTGGGATGGGGACCGATGCTGTGTACGCATACTGTTCATTTAATCTCTACCAAAAACATTTTAGATATGAGCTTGAAGAGTTATTATAGAAAGTGCATGAACTTAGGAGTCAATTAAATCTGTATTCTGCTCGAGGTTTAATTTCAATGATATGAAAAAAGAACTGGAAATAAAGCTGACCACCCCCTTCTCCAGTCCATGTTTCAGAAAAAAAATTATTAAATGATTTAAATTCATAGTCATGGTTGAAAGACACTATTTGCACAACAAATTTGAATCTAGATTCTATTATTTAAATTTCAATTTCTTCACATGTAAAGCTGGAGATGATAAAACCTACCTTGAAGAGATATTATGAGTTTTAAATGTGACAATATATGGCAAGCTCCTAATACAGGGTTTGGCACAAAATAGTAAATGACCATTTATTTGGTGCTACCTGTCAGGCATTGACCTGGCACTGTACAGGTATCTCATTTAGTCTTCACAACTCTGTGAAGTTAAGTATTATTATGACCATTTTCAAAGTAGAGAACAGGCTCAGAGAAGTTATGAAACTTTCTCAAGTTTTCACAGGTCATCTGTGGCTGAGCCAGGTTCTAATCTCAAATTAACATTAGTGATTACTGTACCACTTATGACATCTTAATTTCAAACATCCCACTCTTCAAGTTCATTTCTATCCTCTAGCACACTTTCTCAATATTTTTATTTCAATGATTTTCTGAACTCATTGAGAGCACCAATCTCCAGTGATCTTAACACTTCTTATGAATCACCACTACCCTCATGTTCTCATTTCCAACCTATATTGTGTGGTCCTGCACTAGTTCCAGCCTTAGAAAGCACTCCTAAACTCATTGCTTTTTTTCTCTCTGCCTGGAAAAAACTAAACCTAGTTAATTCCAACTTTTCATTTACTCCATCTACTCTTGTAACCAAGCAGCTATTTATCCTGGAGATAAGTGCAGACAGTAGAGACTAACTCACTTTCAAATTTATGACCACAAATCTTGGTGATTGATTTTTCCCACTTTGGCATGGCATCTATCAGCAAAGGTGTTAGCTCTGTTTATCCTATCCTAGCAATATAAAGGTGAACACATGACCTAAGAAAAGCCAATTAGAACCTTTCACTGATATTTTATATGTGAACACTGGTTGAGGATGTCTTTTCCTTCAGGTTGTGATTTATAAAGATGAAGCCCTGGATCCAGCCATTGAGCCAATACATTTCTTATTGGTTGTGTTTGGCTACTGTGTCTTTAAATGAAAAGAGTTCTGATTAATAGAGACTTCAGAGCAGGGGCAGAGAAAATAGAGATGGAGGATTGGTTTAAGAACTATGTAGTAGGCAAAACTGGTGGGACTTGTAATTGAATGCAAAGGGCTGAGGCAGAAAAGGTTGTACCAAGGTTTTTGTCTGGAATGCAAAGGAGAGAGAGAGAGAGAGAGAGAGAGAGAGAGAGAGAGAGAGAGAATGAATCTGGTTTGGAGGAAGAGGATATGTTTGGAACATGTTGAATTGAGGTATGTCTGGAACATCCAGATAGAAATGTTTGGTAGAGTTTGAGGCTTGGAGGATATGTATATGATTGAGATATGAATGGATATAAGCATGGAAATACTGAGGGAAGTTGAAACCATGAGAGAGGACATAATCACCTTGCAGAGAGTGTAGAGTGGGAAACACCAATATTTAAGGAGCAAGTCAAGAAAGGGAAGTCATGAAGACTTTATAAGGATATAAAGTATCAGAACTTTATATTCTCACACAAAGTCAAGAGAATGTAAAATATCTTAAGATAGATGGCATGATTTTGTCAAATATGGCAGAGAGTTCCAATAAGATAAGTGCTGAAAAATATCTATAAGACTTGGCAAAGAGGATGCCATTGGTGACCTCATTAAGGTTAATTTCATTAAATGGTGAGGGCAGATGCCAGAGAGCAGTGGGTTGAGGGATGAATCAGAGGAGTTAAGAGCCATCAATGAGGAGTTTGAATGGGAGGGGGAGGAGAAAAATTGGAAGTTGCTAGAGGAGAATGTGAGCCTAGAAAGAATTATATTTTAGGACGAGAGAGACTTGATTAGGAACCTGTTGACAAGGAGATGTTGAGGACACAATTAGAGAAGGGGATTATTGAGAACAGAAGAGGATGGGGTTAAGGGCTCAAAGAATTGAGTTGTCCTGAAAGTGAGGACATTTTACCCTCTGAAACTGGAGGAAAAGTGGCAAGTGTGGGTGATTGCTAGGGACATATTTGGTGGTAGAATATTTAAGGAGCTCATTGCAGATATATTCAAGGTATTAAGGTGTGTCTGCTTTAAGGGAAGAGATATGAACTGAGCAGGGCTTGAAGAGAGCAGTGAAAGTGCAGAAAAATCAATGAGAAGATTTGATAAAGGACAAGTGTAAGAACTCATGGGCTCACCAGAAGGCAGATGGAGACCTTAACTTTGTGGCGTGCTCCTCTGTGGGGTTGAGTAACCTTTCCCAAGAGCTCTTGTTCACCCAGGTGCAGACTTGGGAAGGCAGAGATTCTCAGTTACATTTTACTGGGTCTTTCAGAGGTTGATGATGGGCAGGAGTCAAGGGGTTTGGGGGAATTCTTGATAAGATTTAGGAGCAAGTGCAATAAGGGAATGAGCTATGGTCAGAGACAGGGGTTTTAGTTTAAGGTTCTTGATGCAAAACTATTCTAGGTGATGACAATACCAGAGTGTATCCACAAGAATAGTGGCTGATGTGGCACCAGTGGAGGTGAGGATCAAGTTAACCACATGACCTCACTGAATGCAAAGTTGAAAGAAGTGTGCACAATCAGGGCTCTTGGCACAGACTACAGTACAACATGACTGGTCCAATCTTAGGTCCACCTGAGCAGTAGAAATGTCTAGGTTATATAGCACCCATGAGCACTGTGACGGGGGTAGGCTCCCAGTATGAGACTGGGCCTGTTTGGCTTCTAAATGTAATGTAGCATCATGAATGAAAAGATGTGGGTGATTCATTCATGAGAACCATCATGATTTGGGGGCGTGGGCCATAATAGGATGAATCTAGAGGAGAATGTGCAGCCTGCATTAACTGGGAAGGACTCTTAGCTGTCTGCCCTATAGTCTCTGTAGGGCCCTCTGGTTATATGTCTGCCTTTATTCCTACCATTTCTAGTCTGCTCTATATGCTAACGCTTTTAAATCTATAAATTAATGGTAAAAATCTGGCACTGTCTCCCAAATAATTTTTTTTTGCCAAATAAGTTTGAAAATGATTGCAATCAGGTTAACAGAATTTCAAATATTCATGAAATTTATCTAGGTGAATAATTTATTTTCATCTATAAGGAAAAATCCTTTGTTCTGTAAGAACCTCAATTATTGGGATATTCATACACATTAGAGGATGACTTTAGAAAAGGAGATAGTGATAAAACCAACAGGGAAGTAAGCCATGACAGGAGACAGATGAAATCAGTCTGGAAATATTTCCCTCATCAAATAAAAAAGGTGTCAAATATAAACCAGTGAACTTTCTGGTTGCATGTTTCTAGTCTGTGCATCCCACGTGGATGAAGACCATGTAGTCGGGATATGCAAAATTAATGCATAACTTGTGATGGTATGTATTGGCTCACAGACCTCCCAATATAAGTTAGCATTCCTACTTCTCCTGACACATTTGAAAAGAACATGACATTCACCCCTTCGTGGATTGAACCACATGATCTACCTCATGCTTTTGCATTATAACTATCAAGAAGCAGAATGCTTCCCTTTTCCTTCTTGTTCAAGTTGTCCATTGACCTGTCTCTGGCATTCTGGGAAGGTACTGTGTGGATCACAACTCAAAAGAGGAGGAGGGAGAGGAAATAGGAAAACCATTTCACAGATGATAAACGCTAAGCCTGGTATCTCATTTAAAAAACCCAACAAATAATGAGTTTTATGATTCAAACCCAACAAATAATGAGTTTTATGATTCTTTCTCCAGGAGAGAGAAAGCTCTAGAAAAGCTACTTTGTAGAAAAGCAACTCTGTAGAATATCAGTCTGTGGTGGAAGATGTACTTTGTGAGTCTCACAATGGCTTTGTATTTCTAGCCTGGTTTTCTCCTGCTTGGGAGTCATAGTACCAGTTTGACGTTCATCAAATCCTAATCATATCATATTTACTGACTTATTTTGCTACTCCTCCTATCCTTTATTTATAATGATATCCTAGCTGTATTCACTCCCTTCCCCTATAAAAGGACCGACATCTCTTCCAATGGACATGACAGGGAATAAGAAGTTGAAAGATGGTTTGGCACCAGAAAAATTATTTGTATCAAAAAGCAGTGGAAAAGGTAGTTATTACATTTGAACCAAAACTTATCCCTGAACTCCTGGCAGTCCAGGCACAAAGGAAGCATGAAGACCACTTCTCTGTCACTTCATACATCTCACCACTAAATACTCTAGAACTGTGGGATGAACAGTAATAGATCTGCAAGCATGCTTTCCACAGGCCTTCTGCTGCACAAAGACCCTTACCTGATAATATGGATGCAACAGCTGCAATGATGAAGGACACAATGACACCAGGTCCTGCCATCTCCTTGGCCACCAGGCCAGAAACCACGTACATCCCTGTGCCCACGCAACTGCCAACGCCAAGTGAGATGAGGTCCACGGTGGTGAGCACCTGGGCTAGCTTGGTACCATGTGCTGTGGTGCCCCCTGTTCCCTCCAGCATGGACTCCACCGGTTTGGTGCGCAGGATCCTGGAGTGCATGGCATACCAGGAAGCCCCCCACTGTACCCGCCGGGGGTCCAGGGAGGCGAGGAAGCCACTCATCCTGAGTAGTAGGGGTTCTGGTGAAAGTCAACTGATGGAAGAGGGCTATGGAAGCCTCAGTGGCTGCTTCTGGAACTCATTTAGTGCACAGGGATCTTCTTTTTAGGAAAGGTCCAGAGGGACCCAAAGCAGCCTTTTCCTGGGCATGAATGTCTGCAGGAAGAACACAAAAAAGAGAAGATGAGACTCAGTGGGAAACAAACCATGGCTTGGAGGCATGGTTGGAGGTCCATGTACTACGCTGTGAGAGCTGGCCTATCTTGTGTACTCCTATGTAGGAAGGCTTCATTCCCCCCCTGTATCCCCTCCAGTCCTGAATGACAGTCTGTAGTTTGCACGGTGTTGCATAGTTGTTTGGAAGATCATGGTTTGAGTCAGGGCACTGCCACTTACTCCTCTGGGGCCTTGTGTAAGTTGCTTCACCTTTCTGTACTTGGGTTTCAGCTGTACAAGGAGGATAATAAAGTCTGCCTAGTGTTTATGTGAAGATTAAATTGGGGTGTGTCTGAAACATGCTTAAGACAATGCCTGGCACATGAAATGTGCTCCTCTGTTCAAACTTTAAGTATTTCTTACCTGGCTTGGCCAAGAGTTGGTCTGTGATTCTGGGGCATATCCTTTGGGGGACACAATATCCTCATTTTTCACATAAGGATGTAAAATTAGACCTCTGACTCTCAAGAGGGCCAACGCCATTCCATGGGGTTGTTTTGGAACCTTGCTCTCAAATGAAATAAAACATGTTTCTTGTGTTGTATACACCCAAAGATATTTCTCAATGAGCACATATTAGTCTATTAACCAGGAAAATACAAATAAAGACAAATCAAGGTTAGTAAAACATTTCACAATTATTCTAATTTTTTTAACATAATGAATGATGAGCATAGTTCTAATTTCATACACCCAAATGTATTTCTTAATGAGCACATATTAGTCTAACCAGGAAAATACAAACAAAGAAAAATAAAGATAAGTAAAACATTTCACAATTATTCTAATTTTTTAACATAATGAATGATGAGCATAGTTCTAATTTATCCATCCTTATTCATACAATATATGAATTAAAGTAACCAATAGTTCCACTATTACAGATGAACAGTATAATCCAGGTTTTCACTTGACCAAGTGAAAAATGTTTTGAACATTGGTTTACTCTCACAGATTGAGGATAGGGGAGTGGTCCTGGAATTTGATGATGGGCCCCAGAGATGCTGAATGAGTGGGAATAGGTGAAAATTCCGGTTATGATGATCTGAATCTAAAACCCAACTTTGTTTTACATATAAACACATGGGATTTTGGGGGAAGGTCGGTTTTAATATATAAGTTCATTGAATTTTTCAGGAAGGCAACTATAGGATAAATTGAAGGAAGATCGTAATTTCTTTAGTTTGGAACTTAAGAGTTCTTCACCATTTCAGAACACCAGTGCCCCCTGGCAATGCCACCATGGTACTGCTTCTCCCACATTGCACATGTGGAATAGCCTGCCATTTGGAACTGGCCCATGTGTAGTATTTCTTCATGTAGTGCATGCATCTGACAACTTCATTTGGACATGCTTGAGTGTTTACATAGTGAAATATGTTATATACAGGCAGGTTATCCATGAATTTTGCTTCAGGATGTTAAAGAGGGGTGTGGCCAAATACTTATCACAAAAGAGAGGTATTGGGTCTGATAGAATTGACAACTATTGTATTAGATGATTTCAAAAGTGTTGTCAAGTTAGAAAATGCGAAGATTATATGAAGCTATTTTCTTTGGAAGCCAGAAGTGGTAAAAAATCGTATAAAGAAAAATTTAAAGTATAGCTGGATATTTTATTGTGCTGATAGGCCTAGGACATTTACATTTATAAGTACCAGCCCATGTGATATACTAATATTAATGAATACTATTTAGTACTTAATGTAACCCTTGTCTGTCTCTAAAGCCTCCGCAAACAGCACCTAATTAGGAGATTTGTGTGAAACGTGGTAGTTTGGTTCACAGGAGTTGGGTGATTACCCCACTGGTTAAATTTCCTCCGAGACTTGACAGTATTGCTCCATGATGTGTTTTAATTAAGTTTTAAAAAATGTATCTTTATTGTTGAAAGTATTAAAGATGTTCCCCTTCCCACTCCCCCACCCCCATTGACCTCTTCTAGCCCATCCTTATATGCATATAAGTTCTTTGGTTATGTAGCTGATTTTGGGACCTACTGCAGTGTGAAGACTTGCTTAGTTGCCTTCAGATGTTAGGTCTATTTACTTAACACTTCAGCAGGCCTTTTCTTCCTTCTGGGCCTGATCCTTACAATGTTTTAGCATGGTTTGCAGGTTTTTTGTGCTCCTCTTCTGTTCTTTCAGGTACTTTCCCATGAATTCTAAGACATCACGTTCTTTCTTGGCAGAAGCTGTGGTCTTCAGGTCTAGCAGGAG